AGAGACGCTCATTAGAAGGCACAAAGCAGGCTTCCTGAAAATGGTCTATAGCAATGTTTCTCAAAGTGTGTTCCGCAGATCCTGGGAAAAGGAGGGGTCCACAAAGACAAAAGTATCTTAAGACTTTTTCACTGTGTTGACCTTCCCCACTCACCCCCAGACAGAGTCTCACTCTGTTGCCCAGGCTGGAGTACGCCGGCATGATCTTGGCTTACTGCAACCTCTGCCTCCTGGGTTCAAGTGATTCTTCTGTCTCAGCCTCCTGAGTAGCTGGGACCACAAGTATGCACCACCATGCCCGGCTAATTTTTGTATTTTTAGTAGAGACGGGGTTTCACCATGTTGGCCAGTCTGGTCTGGAACTCCTGGCCTCAGGTGATCCGCTCACCTTGGCCTCTCAAAGTGCTGGGATTACAGGCATGAGCCACCCCTCTGGCCTTGTGCTGACATTTGTACTGATGACACAAAGCAATGGTGGGTAAAACTGCTCACAGCCTCAATCAAGGCAATGTTACCACAATGTACTAGTAACCTTCCCTTCCTGTCAGGCCTCCATGTGCAAGCCTGGACCCAGAAAGTCTCAAGTCCTGCCTGCCTCGGCTGATCACCCGCCCCGCCTGCTTCCACCGACATCAACCCACCCTGCCATCTTAACTGCTATTATGATAAAGTGAATATCCCTCCTCCCCACCCACCCTACCATCTTAACTACTCTTACCTACTCTTTTTATTTTTTTAAAGATAGGGTTTCACCATGATGGCCAGGCTGGTCTTGAACTCCTGACCTCAGGTGATCCACCCACCTCGGCCTCCCAAAGTGCTGGGATTATAGACGTGAGCCACTACTCTAACCTACTCTTAAGCCTTACCCCACCAGCCATTGTAACTGAACTTATGGTAATGTATTCTCCTTGCCTCTAGCCCCACCACTGTAACAGATGTCACTCCATAACACCCCTGCCCCCTCCCTAAAAGATTTGCCCCAACCTATAAAACCAACTCCTAACCCACCCGTTTTTCGGCCTTAGCCAATCTGCGCCCAGGTGAATAAACAGCCATGTTGCTCACACAAAGCCTGTTTGGGGAGTCTCTTCATTCAAAGAGCACATTTTAACGCCCTGCCCCGCCCTGCCCTTCCTCCCTCCCTTCTATCTTCCTTCCTTTCTCTTTCCCATCCCTCTCTCCCTCCTTCCCTCCCTCCCTTCTTTCCTTCCTTCCTTTCTCTCTCCCCTCTTCCCCCACCCCACCCCCTGCTTGCTCTCTCCAGACAAGGCCTTGTGGCCCCGGCTGGCATGTAAATCATGGCTCACTGTGGCCTCAACCTTCTGGGCTCAAGTGATCCCGTGTGGCTGGGACTACAGGCACGTGCCACCACGCCCGACTAATTTTTTATTTTCTGTAGAGATGGGGTCTCACTAAGTTGCCCAGGCTGGTCTTGATCTCCTGGGCTCAAATGATCCTCCCACCTCAATCTCCTGAGTAGCTAGAACTACAGGTGTACACTACCATGCCTGGCTAATTTTAATTTTTATTTATTTATTTATTTTTTGTAGAGACAGAGTCTCACCGTGTTGATGAGGCTGGTCTCAAATTGCTTCTGGGCTGAGAGATTCTCTTGCCTTGGCCTCTCAAAGTGTTGGGACTCTAGGTGTGAGCCACCGCACCCAACCCTCAGGACATCGTTAAATAAAAATAATTGTTTGTTTTACTGTGAGTACATGACTGTAAAGAATATAATAGACAAATTATGGTTATTCAGACTTGGGAATTTGGCAGAAATTTTCTCAAATAAGAAATAAGTGAGTCTGTCACTTCCAGGAAACAAATGACAATATTTGTTGCCAATGTTAAAATTCAAGCTGTCAAGTGAGAACAAGCTGAAAACTTGTTTCCATTACCCTGAATTTAATAGTTTCCTAATACTTAAATCGCTTTTTAAAATGAAATAGGTGGTGATACTCACAAATATGATTTTTTTCTTTTTTTTGAGACGGAGTTTCTCTCTTGCTCCGCAGGCTGGAGTGCAATGGCGCGATCTCGGCTCACTGCAACCTCCGCCTCCTGGGTCCAGGCAATTCTCCTGCCTCAGCCTCCTGAGTAGCTGGGATTACAGGCACGCACCACCATGCCCAGCTAATTTTTTGTATTTTTAGTAGAGACAGGGTTTCACCATGTTGACCAGGATGGTCTTGATCTCTTGACCTCGTGATCCACCCGCCTCGGCCTCCCAAAGTGCTGGGATTACAGGCGTGAGCCACTGCGCCCGGCACAAATATGATTTTTTAAAAATACTGTATAATGGCTTCTGAAAGGGGTCAACATTTAGATTTGCATAACTCACTGAACCAACATTTTCTAAACAACCAGTGGCTGATGTTATAAAACCATATATGGGCAACGTAGCCAATCAAACGGCAAGATAGACAATGGGTTGTAATGTAACACAGTACAAAAGTTCACCTATAAGGCTTCAGATGACACACTGTGACTATCCTTTAACAAATTGCCACTTGCAGGTCAGGCATGGCAGCTCACATCTGTAATCCCAGCACTTTGGGAAGTGGAGGCAGACTGATCAGTTGAGGTCTGGAGTTCGAGACAAGCCTGACCAACACGGGGAAACCCTGTCTCTACTAAAAATACAAAAAAAAAAAATTAGCTGGATGTGGTGGTTCACACCTGTAATCCCAGCCACTCAGGAGGTTGAGGCAGGAGAATCGCTTGATCCTGGCAGGCAGGGGTAGCAGTGGGCTGAAGCTGTGCCACTGCACTCCAGCCTGGGTGACAGTGAGACTCTTTCTCAAAAAAAAAGAAAAAAGAAAAAAAAAGAAACTGCCAGTTGCTAAGTTTCGTAGACACTCAAGAGTGTCTACAGTTATCTGAAAGCAATTAAAACATTTCTGTCTGTTCCAATTACATATTTTTATGAGGCCAAATTTTCTTCATACACACCAGCCATAACAAAATAGTTTGAATACTGAAGCAGAAATAAGAGTAATTTTGTCTATTTCTATTGAATAAACTTGAGAAAATATGAAATAATGCTACTCTTCCTATCAATTTTTTTTAGGCAAATGTACCTGTTTTCCATTAAAAATATTATTTATTTCAGAAGTAACAGATTTATTATGGTTGAGGTTTTGTTGAAACAGAGTCTAGCTATGTTGCTCAGGCTGGTCTTGAACTCCTGACCTCAAGCGATCCACCCACCTCAGGCTCCCAAAGTGCTGGGATCACAGATGTGATCACCACACTTGGCCAATTATTACTATTATAAGCCACTGCACCTGGCCGGTTATTATTATTATTATTATTATTGGTTTTTTTTTTGGAGACAAGAGTCTCCCTCTGTTGCCCAGGCTGGAGTGCAATGGCCTGATCTCCACTTCAGATGATTCTCCTGCCTCAGCCTATCAATGAACTGGGATTACAGGCATGCACCACCATGTCCAGCTAATTTTTAGTAGAGACAGGTTTTGCCATGTTAGCTAGGCTGGTTTCGAACTCCTGACCTCAAGTGATCCACCCACCTCAGCATCTCAGAGTGCTAGGATTACAGGCATGAGTCCATGCCTGGCCCAACTGTTGTTATTTTTCAAGGAACAAAGGAACATTTTAAGATTTTCTCAGTTTAAATCTTTGATATGGTAAATATCATAAGTATACATAAACAAAACAAAGCTCTCTGAAGTCAGAGTATACAGGTGTCCCAAGACTTAAAAGGCTTGAAACTTGACATTCTATAGCAACATTAAGTTGGCCTTTTCAGAGGGCAAAATGATAAAGCACATTTTATAATCCCTCTAAAATACAAAGGGCAAAGATACATTTTAAACATATTACAGAATGTTCAATTAAAAAATTTTTTCCACACTACATTCAGTGAATACAAAAAGAATATAGATTCCCCAGGAACAAATTCCGCAGAAGTGAGGGATAGTGCTGCAATTAGAAAAATGATCTGGATTCTTGCCCAGACCCTACCAGTCTCTCTAGACTTTAGTCTTCCCATCTGCAAAGTAAGATATCAGAATAGTCTATTTTCCATCTGCTTCCAGTTGTCAGTATCATGATTCTAACCAGGGATCTCTAAATGGGGGCCCACAAAATGCCTCTGGCCTTCAGACTGATTGGCCAACCTATTTTTAAGAAGTATCCCATGAGGACAATCGGCTGGAGCTTGGCGAGCGGCTTCCTTTTCAGGTGAGGATTTTCAGTTACAGTCTCAATCTAGCTCACTAGACACTCTTCTGAAGACATCTGCATTTACAACCTCTGGAATAAAGGGCCCGTCAAAACCGGTCCAAATCTCAAGCTCCATAATTCAGCTCCAGAGACAGCGTGTCTGGGTTTCTCACTCACTCTGCCGCTTGCTGGCTGTTTGACTTTGGGCAAGTTCCTTAACACCTCTAAGCCTCAGTTTCATCCCTGGTAAAATGGAACAACGCTGACCTCAAAAGGCTGGTATGAAGCTTACTTAGCGAGGTGTTGCCCAAGAGCACTTACAGAGTTCTTGGCACTGGACAGCACTTTGTTAAAGTGAGCTATTATTAGTAACGCCAAGTCACAGAAACGGAGTATTTCCTAAACTCCTTTTACTCCCAAAACCAATTCCCTCTCCCAGCGCCTGACGACTGCACTGCACGATCAAGCTTACCTTCGTATTAACTCCCAAACCCCACAGTTCCACATCCCAACATGCACAAGATCCTCCTCAGACCTCTACTTCTTCCACACCCTACATCCCTTCACTGAGCTCCTGGCCAGCACCGGATTCCTTCACGATCACAGACAGGCAGAGTGGCCACACCACTGACCACTCCCCCAGGCTCTCCTCCGCGTTCCGGAACACTAAGCCTCCCTTTCCCTCATTTCGGAGACCCCCTTGGGTCAGGAATTGGTGATCCAGGCGTTTATGGCCTAGGATTCTGCCCAAGGAGCGCTCGAGAGGGACGGGAGACTAACAGTCCGACCTGCCGGAGGGGCCCACGGACACTCACCGTCCATCCCTAGAGGCGGCGGTTCCGGGTGTCCGAACCGGAAGCGGCCTCTACACTGTTTGCAGTTCCCCTGGTTACTGCGGGGTCCCGGACCAATGGCGGTGGAGCTCCACTTACTGAGCCCGCCCCTGAGGGGGGAGTGACGTCACACCAGTGCACTGGAACTCCTCCTCCGAACCCTGGGTCTGACCCACCTCCCCGGGCCCCGGATTGTTGTGCGCAGGCGCGCTGGACCAGGGCCCTTGGCGGTGCTTTGCGCATGCGCCTCCGGCGCCGACTGAAGTAGCAATGGACGCGTTGGAGTCGTTGTTGGACGAAGTGGCTCTGGAGGGGCTCGATGGCCTGTGTCTGCCAGCGCTGTGGAGCCGTTTGGAGACGCGAGTGCCGCCCTTCCCGCTGCCTTTGGAGCCCTGCACGCAGGAGTTTCTGTGGCGAGCCCTCGCCACGCACCCGGGCATCAGCTTCTATGAGGAGCCTCGGGAGCGACCCGACCTCCAGCTCCAGGACCGGTCAGAGGGCGGCCTGGCCTGGCGGGCGGGCGGGCGGGCGCAGGGCCCGGAGGCTGATGGAGCTGAGGGCGGGGCAGGGGAATGGAGTGGGCCAGCGGAAGTATCGGAGGCCTGGTGATTGAGTTGGGGCACGGCGATAAGGCTGATTTGGGGTCCCTCAGGCCTGGTAGGGCCTTGGAGTCTGATGGAGTGGCGGGCGGGGGGGGAGGGGGAGAATCTAGTGATGTCCCGTTTTGTCCCTTGCGTATTTTGTGGTAATGGCGAACAGGATTGGGGATATTCTTCAGGCTTAAAAGAATATTTCCTTTACATTGGAGAATAGGGCTGGAGACTCGAGATCCACAAACCCTCTTCATTCCATGCAGACTAGATAGCCTAGGTCAACTCGAGATCTGCCTGTCAGCACAATTAGCAATACTGCTAAAAGCTGACATTTATCAGGTACTTTATGGGCTAGGTGCTGTTCTTTTGTTTCTGAGACAGAGCCTATCTCTGCGGCCGAGGCTGGAGTGCAGTGTCGCAATGTCGGCTCACTGCAACCTTCGTCCCCCTCCCGGGTTCAAGCGATCCTCGCGCCTCAGCCTCTGAGTAGCTGGGATACAGGCTCGGGCCACTACGCCCCGCTAAATTTTTGCATTTTTAGTAGAAACGGGGTTTCACCATGGGCTCAGATGATCTGCCTGCCTTGGCCTCCCAAAAGTGCTGGGATTACAGGCGTGAGCCACCGTGCTCGGCCACGGTGCTGTTTTAAAATCCTGTTCTAGAAGCTTAGGAGCTTAAACTCACGTGATTTTCACTTGATTAAATTCCTTTAAATAGAAGATTAAACTCACTTGATCCTCACCTATAAGGTAGGTGCTGTTATCTTCCTCATTTTACAGAGGAAGAAACTGAGTCACAGAACAGTCTAAGGTTCTGGGGACAATAAGTGACTTAAGAATTGATTTGAACCCAGGCTATTTCCAGCGTCTGTGATCTTAAGTAATATTGTGAAGGTCGGGGAGGTCCAAGAGATAATCATGTCCAAGATAGACCAGGAATAGCAGCTGACGCCTGTAATTACAGCACCTTGGGAGGCCCAGGTGGGCGGATCACGAGGTCAGGAGTTGAGACCAGCCTGGCCAATGTAGTGAAACCCCCGTCTCTACAAAGAATACAAAAATTAGCTGGGCGTCGCTGTGCATCCCTGTAATCCCAGCTACTCAGGAGGCTGAGGCAGGAGAATCACTTGATCCTGGGAGGTGGAGGTTGCAGTGAGCCATGATTGTGCCTTGAACACCAGACAGAGTCTCAGAAAATAAAAATAATGTCCAAGACAAAACTTAAAGATTGGATTTAGGCAGCCAGTAGGCAAAGAGGACTGTTGGACAGAGAACAGCAAATGTGAAGTAAGTGGCTGAAGTGCGGAATTGGAGGTAGGGAGTGAGGAATGGCTGGGACTGTGCTAAGATCCTTAATATAGCACGTTATTTAATTTTTACAGCAACCTTAGGAGATGGGTCATATTCTCCCCATTTTCCTGAAGAGAAAATCAAGGCTCTTAGGGGTCAGGTGGCTTGCTAAAGGTCATCAGCTAGCAAGGGAAGAACCCAGATTTTGAAGTAGAAGGTCTCAGTTCAGAATTTACTCTGCCCTTAGCCAAATTGGACTGGAATCAAGTCGTTTTATGTTCTAAAGAGTTTATCAACCTGTAATACCAGCACTTTGAGAGGCAGAGGTGGGCACATCACTTGAGGTCAGGAGTTTGAGACCAGTTTGGCCAACATGGTGAAACTCCATGTCTGCTAAAAATACAAAAAGTAGCCAGGCATGGTGCTGGTGCCTGTAATCCCAGCTAGGCAGAGGCTATAGTGAGCCTATATCGTGCCACTGCACTCCAACCTGTTCAACAGAGGCAGACTCCATCTAAAAAAAAAAAAATTATCCTTTATCAAAAGGACAGTGGGAAGTCACTGAAGAGCGGGTCAGACTAGGGCCAAAGAGTGAAGTTGAGAGATGTGTAGCACTCTAGTCATGGTCTGGCTTACCATGGTGGATGTGGGGATGAAGAGCAGAAGCAGTCAGGACAGTAGGCCAAAGAATCAAGAGGCTTTGGAGACTGATTGAATGTGAGGTATAAGGAAGGTAGGAATCAAGGGTGATGCCCTCTGGTGGCTGCTGTTTGGGCACCTGAGTGAACCCTAATTCCCATCTCTGAGGCTGGAAACAAGGAAGCACAGCATGTTTGAGGGGGGTTGAGTCTGGGGGAGGTGGAGACTTTGCTGAAGGGACATGTAACACACTAAGCTTCAGGTCCCTTTGGGTTGTCCAAGTGAAGAGTCTTAATTAGTAAACATCTGGCTTGGTGGGAGTGAAAGCAAGCCAGAGGGAGGGACTGAGCTAGACATCTGTGAGTCATTCCATGCAGCTGGTAGTTAAAGCTGTTGGCTAAGACCAACCCTAAGAGAGTGGAGTGTGGTTGGAGGCCTTGAGACATAGCCCTGCAGTGCACCTACATTTCAAGGCTGGATGGAGGGTGAGGGACTTTGAAAAGACAGAGGAGGTGTGGCTGGAGAGACAGAGGACAGTCAGGTCAGAGAGGTGTTCTGGAAGCCTGGAAGAAGACAGGATGATTTAAGAACGGAAGGTTGGACTGGGCGCGGTGGCTCAGTGGTTCACACCTGTAATCCCAGCCCTTTGAGAGGCCGAGGTGGGTGGATCACTTGGCCGACATGCTAGAAACCCTCTCTCTACTAATAATACAAAAATTAGCCGGGCATGGTGGCAGGCATATGTAATCCCAGCTACTAGGGAGGCTGAGGCAGGAGAATCGCTTGAACCCAGGAGGCAGAGCTTGCAGTGAGCTGAGATTGTGCCAATGCACTCCAGCCTGGGCAACAAGAGCAAAACTCAAAGAATGGAGGGTTAAATAGTACAGAGAACAGAGGCAGGCAGGAAGGAAAGGGCTGAAACATACATGAGATTTATAACCTCAGTTAGACTGGTGTAGGATGTAAGTGAGATTTCAAAAGAAAATTTGACAAGCTGCCAGGCAAGGTGCCTCATGCCTGTAATCCCAGCACTTTGGGAGGCTGAGGTGGGCGGATTACTTGAGCCTGGTAATTCAAGACCAGTCTAGGCAACATAGTGAGAAAAATATGTATGTATATGTATATTTTTTA